AGCAGATGGCCCCGCCCCTCCCTGAGCCTGGTTCTGCCGGAGGTTTCTTCCTGTTAAAAGGGAGTTTTTCCTTCCCACTGTCGCCAAAGTGCTGCTCATAGGGGGTCACATGATTGTTGGGTTTTTCTCTGTATCTATTATTGTAGGGTCTACCTTACAATATAAAGCGCTGTTGTTGTGATTTGGCGCTATATAAATAAACTGAATTGAACTGAAATATAATAGTGATGTCCAGTTGATATAAGCGGGTGTCATTACTGCTGACGTGATTAAAATTTTACAGAATTGAGATTCCCCTCCGTGAATCACAACTTTAACGTGGTGGAGGAAAAAGCAGTTCAGAAGACCGTTATCTGAGTCAAATCGAATGTTTGTTTGACAATTTGTATTCAAATAGTCATTTACATGAATGCAGGACGTCAGGAGAGTGGTGCAGTGAGTGTGAGAGATTGTCAAGAGGACAATGATCCTAAACAGTGCAGTTAAAGCATACCTGGAAAAACATACAATGGAACACTGACAGTCCTGGAATGGCCTTCCCAGATCCTGAAGCTCATTACTGAAGCAGTGGGGGATCAAAAAAAATGAACAAAAAGCAGCTAACATCCAAAGAAAAGCTTTGTCAGTGACTTGCTAGACTTTTCAACACATCTTTATCCTCAGGCCTTTCAGGACACTCCAGGGTCCTCCATATGTCGGAACATTTGAAGCTTCCCCTGAAAATCATGATTACAGAAAAAAGGGTCTAACCAGGGAAATGACAAAAAAACGTGTGTGGAAATCTTTATTTTGCTGAAAATAGCAACAGTCCAAATCGCACTGTTCACTGTTTTCATGGAATCATTCTAGTGACGGGTACAAGATTTATTTTGAAAGACAAAATGAATATACATTGTAAGACATTAACATCATTTAGTAGTCCCAGACCAGCACACCAGTCATTACCATTGCAGAGATCTCTGCATGTTTTTTCTGTCTTTGTCACTATTGTATGTTTCTGAACACGTAACCTGACCAACATAAAAACATCTGGTTAACATGGTCCAGTACACACACACACACACACACACACACAATGAGTCTGTGCTTTATGAATTTGGTCCTAATGTGTTTTGATGACCACCAGATTCTTCAGCATATCAAACGAGTTTCCATCCGGCTCCACTGAGACTACACCCTGCTCCTTGCTGTGCACCTGGAGGAAACCGTTGTGGTCCAGACCCATCACCTGAACCTCTGGGCCGTCCTCACTCCAGAGACGCACCCAAGTTCCACTGAGGTCAGAACAAAGAGAGCAGTTTTTACAGTTTAAATGTGAATGTGGGGTCTAGTAAACTTAATTAAGTTGAACAGTGGTTAAAACCCAACTCCAGAGCCACTTTACTCTTACATGAAAAACAAAACATCATCTGTTTCAGGATTTTATGTGCCATTTTTCTTTTACACAGTTTTGTTCATGTTATGTACTTCTGAATGCACAATGGAATATAAATTAGATTTGACTGTAGCATTAAATCCTTGTTCCCATGTTGCTAAAAGAAAGTGTGTGATTCTAAGTAAAAGTGAAATCTTAGTTCAAAGCATCAAGAGTTGTCTACGTTACACACCTGTGGAGCCATCTCTTGTAGTACGTGGGCAGGACAGACTCTGGGCCTCCTTGCTGGAAGTTGTCAATAAGGGCCTCCAGGCAGTTGACAGTTCTCGCGATGAGCTGGGCACAGCTGAGCGGCTGCAGGCTGCAGTTGTGCTGTAAGTTGTACGACTGGATCAGGTCATTGATGCACACTGTTGGGTTGCTGTTTGTCACATTAACCCCACAGCCTGTAGGGAAGAACACGTTTAAGAGATAATTACAATATTCTGAGATAACCTGGGTTTGTGCACATTCATTCATGCACAGCTCTCGAGGTTCCTCCACAGCGTTTTGATCAGGATCGTGATTTTGACTTTTACTCTGAGTCATTATTGCACCTTGATTTTTTTCCTCTTTAGCCACTATGTTATAGAGTTGCTGCTGTACTTGAGGGATCGTTGTTATGCTAGACAATCCGATTTTGGCAAACTTTAGCTGTCAGACAGATGGCCTCACATCTGACTACAGAATACTTTGCTGTTTTACAGTTAAATATGATATCTCATGGTGGACTGCAGCAAAAGCCCAAACCATCACCTCCCCACGCTGTGCTAACAGAATTCGTGTTACTATAAAAGGACATTGTTCCAGAAATCTTCTGGTTTATTCAGATGCAAACCAAAGCCATGCTACCAAGTTCATTTTTGAGAAAAGAGGCTTTCCTCCAAACAAGCCAAACAATTTCAGTCCAATCGTACTATCGTGAACTTTAACATTTAACATGCACCAATGAGTGAACACACTGTAAGCAATTTCAGGCCCAAGGTGAGGACGCAAAAATGTTTAACTGGATAGAATGTGTGATATGTGAATATGTGAATATACAGCAGAAATGTAGGTATAAATTCTGCTGCTTGTTTTCTATGGTCACCAATGCCTCGTGTACGTTATTTTCATGCCGTTTTATTCAACAGATTATAATTTCTTTGCAAAAACAAATTCCATAAAGCAGAGATGAGAATACAACAGAGCTATATCGAACACCACTGATCTGCAGTGACTTTGGTGCAGAAATGAGGGGGTCATTCAGGCATTGTTTATAAAAGATGAACTCCAAGAAGCTAGAATAGTGGTGTTTTGGTACAATAGTAGCAAAGGGCCAGCATACCAATGTTTTCCCTGATAAAACCTTACTGTCCGTTCTGCTAGGATTGTAACATTTTATTCTTTAACTGACTTTGCATTGTGTCAGCTGTGACAACCGGGGATGCCCCATCCTCTGCAAAAAAACAAAACAAGGATGTGCACAGTGTGTACTGGGTAGCTAGTGTAAACTCCTTGCAGTGTCGAACAAATAAATCAACCAAGCTGTGAGGACCAAAGAAACCACATAAACAGGAATGGTTATTTCCAGCCAAACCAGTTTGAAAATGATCGGCAAAGACCATAAGAGAGAGAGAGAGAGAGAGAGAGAGAGAGAGAGAGAGAGAGAGACAGACAGACAGACATACAGACACACACACACACACACACACACACACACAGAGCAGGGAAGTAAGCGAAGAAATGAAAGAAAAAGCAACAGAAAGGTGGAGAAGGGAACTCTGAAGAAAAAGGAGCGCAAATGCTACACTTCACAGGGAAGTGACAGAAATGGCAGACACAGGGGTAAAGGTGGTAATTCAATCCACTTGGCAGGTGAATGAACTGAAGCAGGCCATTGCTGAGCTTACCTTGAAACAAGAAGGATCACTTAGCACCGGGAGTTCACAAGCCCCCTCGGACTGCACACCAAAAAGATTATCCACGAAGCACAAACCAGTGCCAGCACGCCCTCCATGCCATCGACAGGCTGCATATTAAGGGTCAGCCCTACAGGAGGACTCAGATTGGAGGACGAGATCCAGGACAAGTGGAAAATTGGAGGAGGATCCACACGACTTGAAGGAAACAACCAACAACCCAGATTCAGGGTACACTAGTGGGAGACTTCACAGGGGTATTCACTCCTCCACCAATGAGTGGTGCAGAGGGGTCCCAGCTCACATTTGAGAGATCTCCACCCCAGACTCGTAGGATGTGACCGAGAGGTCAAGGCGGGGAATCAATACCAATAACCCAACTGCCACTACGAGTAGTAGATGGAAGAGGCCTGCTGTATGTTCCCCAAAGAGACATTGAGGCCTACCTTCCAAATTTCCCCCAGTGGGAGGAGGAGCCTCAGACCACCCTAGAGGGAGAGACGATGGGAGACACCTACGGAGGTGGAGACCTGAGGGCCCTGCTGAGTAAGTTGGAAGGGAGAGACACCACACATTAACTACTAAAGGAAGCCAGCATCGGGTCATGAGAAGGATACGCTATACTATTCAACCTGTAATGGGATCACCTGTGGGAGTTCTAAGGAAGGAATGCCCAACTGACAGACTATCGGAGACATAAAAAAGGAAATAACACAAAGGGATGCTGGAGTGCTTAAAATGGGCTGCCACCCTGTAGGAAAGGCATACAGGTGCACAACATAACTCCAATAATGCAATCCAGGCAGTCTGTAGTGTGTGAAGGTCCTCTCCAATGCCAAATCAGGCACAACAGGGCCTCAGGAGCCTTATCCCTCTTTTCCAAACCCATTCACAGGCAGAGGAGCAGGAGTGTCCAACCAGAGACAGTATGAAGGAGCGCCAAGGCCAAGGTTCCCCAATCAGATGCCATTCTAGATCTATGAATAAATCTTCTTTTTTTTGGTACCGGTACTAGTTTTATTTTGTTGTATTTATCCGCGACACCTTAAAGGCCGGTCTGTGAAAATATTGTCGGGCATAAACCGGTCCATGGCGCAAAAAAGGTTGGGGACCGATGAACTAGGTCACGGGCTGTCACACATGCAATGAGCACAACCCAAGGGCGCCCTACAAATGCCCAGTGGTAAGGTTTCCAGTCTCAGAGGCTCCACTTCAAGATATCACAATTGACTTCACTGATGTGGGAGTGGGTCAGGTACTTTCTGGTGATGGTGGAAAAATTCACAAGCTGGGTGGAAGCAGTATCATGCAAAAATGAATCAGCGCAGACTGTAGTGAAGTGGCTGAAAAACAAGTTAATACCCTGGTCTGGGGTCCCGAGGAGCAAATGCTCCGATGATGCCTCGTATTTCTCAAATAAAGAACTGGCAGGGGTAGAAAAGGCTCGAGGTATAACACAGTTTCAGGGCCGTTTGCTATCCTGCCTCACAAAGGCTGGTGGAAGGGGCAAATAAGACTCTGAAGAGAAAGATTCTTGATTTCTCTTATGGAACTAGACTGATGTGGGTGGACTCTCTCCCCATTGCTCTCATGTCAATGAGAACCTCCCTGCCCTGGCCCACCATGAGAGGGAGGTCATATGCCCTCTCTGGATGTCTGGCAGGTGAGTCGTGATGAACATACGACAGCGTTGACTAAACTGACCAGAGTTTTGTCTAAGCAGGTGCAGCTGGCTGAGCCCGAGGCAACTCCAAATGAGCAGTAAAGGTTGGTGAGTGGGCATGGGTGAAAGTTCACAAGAGAAAGTGGCTTGAACCCAGGACTGGACCCTATGAGGTGATTCAATGTATAACCCATGCAGTCCAGGTAAAGGTAAAGCTGGAGCTAACTGGTACCACCTGACACACTGTGTACCTGCACAACCACCCTAGCGAACTTTGGCCGAGGTGAGGACTAATCTGGCAGAAACCGGCGACAGACAGCCGACAGAAACGCGTAAACCCCTGCATGTCCTTGTTAGTATAAATAGCGTGCTTTCTAGCTATTCCACTTTCCTGTGATTGTTGTTGTATTCCATGTGCTAGACGGCTATCGGATAGGTTGATCGTAGCTGTTTTGTCTAAGGAGAAGAACTCTACATCATAACAGTTGCCATTGTTCCGAGTGGAGGAGGAGTCAAAGGGTTACGAGGAAGAGTAGGTGTAACAGGAGGGAGTAAAGGCCTCTGAGGGCAAAAGCAAGTGTAGTGTTGAAGGTTTGAAGCTCCAGGGCACCACAGATGCCCTGTAAAATGGAAAGGGGAAGACAACGTGTGAGATAAAGGTTTACACCTTAACAGGTGTAAGAGGAGGGACTATTTAGTGTTATAGTGAACAGCTTAAGAATTTAGATGTCTAGACAGTGTTTAGTTAGAAATGGCGACAGTGAAGAAGCTTCAAGGTGAAGGGACACAAAGTCCTATGATAAGGTGGGTCATCGGGACGGCGTGAGACAAAAACAATATCCAGTATCTCAGCCAGGGTGGCCTTCATGCTAACTAAGATGTGAGAAGTGATTAGGTGAAAGGTGAGAGAACAGGGAAAAACATCTAGTACCCGTGTAGCAGAGTAGGGGCCTTCCCTTTTAGGTGCTGCTCTTCAGGATTGCTGAGAGGCTGGGACCACCTCGGGGCGCCAACGAAGGCAGAATAAATGTAAACTAGGATTTCTCCTCATCGGTTTTAACCAATCAGACGCCCATTCTCATATAAAACTTTGTATACTGCTACATTAAGGTACTCTCTTATGTTAACAAGTTTAAAATGAGTATGTTAGTTTAGCCATGTGAGGAACGGCTTCATGTTGACATGAGTGAAATGTGTCCGTTGAACCGTGCAGATTGTCACCTATGAGCAGATGAAAAGTTGATCCCAGTACTGTGGAAGTCACCAGCACTCCTCCGAGCTTCATCAGGTTACCGTAGTAGATGTCATTGGGCCACTTCACCCTCAGATCTATGTCCTACAGGAGGTTAAACGTCATCTATCTTACATGTACTTTAATACCAACACAATGATCTTTATTATGCTTCAAAATGTGTGAAAATAGTCTAATAACATTTCCATGTGATTAACAAGGTTATGGTACCAAGTAATTGCATGTTAATGACCATGCTTGGATAGGTAAATACTAGGCTGTCTTCATGCATGCTCTCCCAAAAGGTTGATTCTGTCCATCTGGATGTTTTCAGTGGGAGAAATGTTTCGTCATCAGGTGACGTCTTCAGTCTCAGCTGACTGCAGGTTTCCAACCTTATAAACAGGACATTTGCACAAGGACTGAAACTAGCACCACTGAAGGAACGATGGGCTGGGAGGTCAGTTCCTTGATCAACCTACGCATACGGATCAGTATTTAAGGTTTGACTCCACATCCACTGGAGCACAAACTGGGTGTCATCAGGACGCTACAACTGCTGCGTAAGTGAAAACCCGTAGTGATCCCGTACATGTCAGGAGTATCGGAACAGCTGAGACGCATTTCTTCCAAACACCGACACAAACAGAGTAACATAGTGTACGCTGTTAAGTGCAGGAGGATTGCCAGGATTTATACATCGGGGAAACCAAACAACCTTTGGCTAAGAGGATGCCACAACACAGAAGAGCCACCTCATCAGGACTCTGCAGTCTGTTTACACCTACAGGCCAGTGGACACTCTTTCAATGATGAGGATGTAACATCCTGGACAGGGAGGAACGCTGGTTTGAGGGCGGAGTCAAGGAGGCCATTTATGTGAAAAGGGAAAGACCATCTCTGAATGGAAGAGGGGGCCTAAGGGTACATCTGTCACCATCTTACATGCTGTGATTGCAGCCATTCACCAACTCTCTGTGAATGGGACTCATGGGCTTTGATCAGTGGTTGTTGATCAATGTCCATGATAATTTGCATATTAATGATCAATCACAGTTCATTCAGTGGGCTGGTTTCAGTCATTATGCAAATGTCCTGTTTATAAGATTGGAAACCTGCAGTCAGCTGAGACTGAAGACGTCACCTGATGATGATGAAATGTTTCTCCCACTGAAAACGTCCTGATGAACAGAATCAACTTTTGGGTAAATACTAGGCTAATGATGGGGGAACAGACACAGGGCATATGAGGAAAAACCTAAAAGAATGAATAAAATAAAACTTACAGTAAGGGCACAATCATCTTTTAGAACAATAGAAGAACATCTAAGCAGGAAAAAGGCCGTAACGCTGCAGTGCTTCGAATAAAATGCTTTTAATACAGTGACATTAACTGGTAGTAATGCTGTAATAAGAACATGGACTGCTAAACAGTTGGATGTCCTAATGTTATTATGGAGATATTGGGATACCTGATATCCAGGAAGTGAGCAAACAGCCTCCACTACAGCAAGAGCAACCAGGTGCTGCAGGAAGGGAATCCTCTGTCCGAGCTTGGAGTTCAGCTCAATCTGGACATTCAGAGTGAACATGGCACAACCCAGAGGGCTGAGCCAGGCATTCCTTCCCCGACCTACAGCACAAAACACAAGCAGCAAGTTTTACCAAACACCTAAAGCATACTGTGAAATAGACTACCAGTCAGAAGTTTGGACACACCTTCTCATTTAATGTTTTTCTTTAGTTTCACACTGTTTACATCGTAGATTCTCACTGAAGGCATCATGAATGAACACATATGTAATTATGCAGTAATCAACAAGTGTGAAATAACTCTCAAAGCCAGCCTTTGCTTTGATTACTGCTTTGCTCACTCTTGGCGTTCTCTCCATGAGGTCGTCGCCTGAAATGGTTTTCCAACAGTCTTGGAGTGCCCAGAGATGCTGAGCACCTGTTGGCCTTTTTGCCTTCACTCTGCGCTCCATCTCATCCCAAACCATCTCCACTGGGTTTAGGTCAGGTGACTGTGGAGGCCAGGCCATCTGGCACTGACATCACTCTCCTTCATGGTCAAACAGCCCTCACACAGCCTGGAGGTGTGTTTGGGCTCATTGTCCTGTCCTGGCATGTGGCTGCAGGATGCTGTGGTAGCCATGCTGGTTCAGTTTGCCTTCAATGATGATTTTCCTTAATCGTGGTTTCTTAGCAGCTGTTTGACCATAAAGGCCTGATTCACACAGTCTCCACTGAACATGTAGAGATGTGTCTGCTGCTGCTCTGTGTGGCATCTATCTGAGGTCTGATCTGAGCTGCTGCTTGTGATTGTGATTTCTGAGGCTGGTGACTCGGATGAATGTATCCTCAGCAGCAGAGGAGACTCTTGGTCTTCCTTTCCTGGGCCGATCCTCATGTGAGACAGTTTCATCGTAGTCTTGATGGGTTTGCGACTCCACTTGGGGACACATTCAAAGTTTTAGCAGTTTTCTGACTGACTGACCTCCAGCTCTTAAAGTAATGATGGACTGTTGTTTCTCTTTACTTAGCTGATTGGTTCTCGCCATAATATGAATTCTAGCAGTTGTCAAATACGCCTGTCAGCTGTGCACCAACCTGACTGCTGCACAACACAACAGATGGTCCCAACGTCATTAACAAAGCAAAGGGTTACTTTAAATGTCTTATATTTTAGATTCCTCAGAGTTATTTATACATTTTCTCTTTGCTGCATTATTCTATATATCTAGCTTCATGTATTTGATGTCTTCAGTTTGTATCTACAATGTGGAAGCAGTAAAAAAAAAAGAAAAACCATTAAATAAGAGGGTGTGTCCAAATGTTGGACTGGTAGTCTACGTACAAAATGAAAATAAAAAATGAATGCACTGACCTCTTCCCTGGCTTTGTTGAGTAGCTACTACTAGTAAACCCATGTCTCTTGGTAAGTGTACAGTCAGCCTGAGGAGAGACAGAAATGTGTCAAAGTGTCTCTGTGGGAAATGTTTCAAAAATTCTCTTATGAAGTGAGACACACAGAGCAGCGAGTTCCAACGTGTTTATTTTACTCGCAAGGAAGCAAAAGTAACACAGTGAACGTCTAACGAATGCAACTGCTCACCGGGGCAAACCTGGTGTTTCATCTATACACTTCTGTCACGGCCAGGGGATCAGCAGGCCGCTGACTAGTAGCGGTCTCTTTCTCTCTCTCGCTCTCTCGCCAGGGCGGAACTCATGGCGGGTTCACGCCCTCGGCCCATGCCCCTCTGAAGAGGAAACACCTGGGCCTCATCAGTGCAGCCAGCATTTAAGCCAGGGAGTGGCTTCTACTCATCGCTGGATCGTTGTGTGTGACTCGCGTCAGTGCAGCCCGACTCTGAGCAAGTTCTCTTTCGTTTCCCTGCGCAAAACCTCTAACGTGTGTTTCCTTCTGTACATAGATCCCCTGGACCCGACCCTGCATTCCCCGAGTGGATTCCTGTTTTTTGTGAGTGTTTGGAGAGAGACTGGTCACAATAGGAGAGAGTCAGAAGAGGAGCAAGTGTCTTTTCCCTACCTGGATTTCCCCGGAGCCTTTTCCCTGTCACCGCTTTGTATATAGCACTACCCCTGTACTATTTGTATATACACCTGGTGGAACAGTAATAAATACCAACTGTGCCTCTGAGTCCTGCGTGTGAGTCCTCAAGCAAACCGTGACACTTCCAGTGTTATCCTGGGAACAGATGTGTGTGACGCTCTTACAGAGAAACTTGGTGTGTTTGTACTGATTCCAACTGCTTTGGATAAAACACAGCAGAGGAGCCACAGCAGGCCCGTGCACAGAGACACGTTTCTTCAGCTTACTGTAAAGAGTGTTGTATAGCTGTAATCATTTTCTATAAGACCATCGGTGAAAGTGATATTCTGTGTCACACTAATGATGAATTCTCTTAATTCAGTCTCTCTACTAAATCCAACAATCTCACTAAATGTGTGTTTATTTTTCCCAACCTGGCCACTCCAAACTGAGATCCAGGACAGTGACCAAGAAGAATCCAATAACGTAAGTTAACTAATCATTTAAATCAGCGGTCCCCAACCTTTTTTGTGCCACAGACCGGTTTATGTCTGACAATATTTTCATGGACTGGTCTTTAAGGTTTCGCGGATACATACAAGGAAAAAAAAGCCCAGCACCGGTACCAAAAACAAAGAAGATTTATTCATAACACATAGGAAAGGACCCAAAGAAACCAAGTTAATGATAAAAATGATAAAAAATAACGATAAAAACCAATAAAATCCCTGAAAACCATAAATTTCACACCCGAGTGTCAACTCTCGCAGCCCGGTACCAAATGACTCACGGAACGGTCCGTAGCCCGGGGGTTGGGGACCGCTGATTTATATGATGAAGGAATGATGCAAAATGGGATGAGTCGGACTACAGAGATGAGGTCAACAGACTGACTGAGACTGACTGAGTGGTGTTCAGTTAACAACCTCCAACTGAACACCACGAAAACTAAAGAACTTATCTTGGACTTCAGGAAGGGCAGAGCAGACCCGGCCCCACTTTACATTCACGGGAACTGTGTGGAGAGGGTACACTCCATGAGGTTTCTGGGCAT